ATGTTGTATAAATATCAGTTAAGTCCATCTTGTTTAATGTATCATTTAATGTTTGTGTTTCCTTATTTACTTTCATTTTGGATGATCTTTCCATTGGTGAAAATGGGGTGTTAAAGTCCCCTACTATGATTGTGTTACTGTCGATTTCCCCTGTTATGGCTGTTAGTATTTGCCTTATGTATTAAGGTGCTCCTATGTTGGGTGCATAAATATTTACAATTGTTATATCTTCTTCTTGGATTGAACTATTGATCATTATGTAGTGTCCTTCTTTGTCTCTTGTAATAGTCTTTATTTTAAAGTCTACTTTGTCTGATATGAGAATTGCTAATTCAGCTTTCTTTTGATTTCCATTTGCATGGAATATCTTTTTCCATCCCCTCACTTTCAGTCTGTATATTTCCTTGTAGACAGCATATATACAGGTCTTGTTTCTGTATCCATTCAGCCAGTCTATGTCTTTTGGTTGGAGCAATTAATCCTTTTACATTTAAGGTAATTATCAATATGTATGTTCTTATTACCATTTTCTTAATTGTTTTGGGTTTGTTATTGTAGGTCTTTTCCTTCTTTTGTGTTTCCTGCCTAGAGAAGTTCCTTTGGCATTTGTTGTAAAGCTGGTCTTGTGGTGCTGAATTCTCTTAGCTTTTGCTTGTCTGTAAAGGTTTTAAATTCTCTGTCAAATCTGAATGAGATCCTTGCTGGGTAGAGTAATCTTGGTTGTAGGTTTTCCCCTTTCATCCCTTTCAATATGTCCTTCCACTCCTTTCTGGCTTGTAGAGTTTCTGCTGAAAGTTCAGCTGTTAACCTTATGGGGATTCCCTTGTATGTTATTTGTTGCTTTTCCCTTGCTGCTTTCAATATTTTTTTCTATTTAATTTTTGATAGTTTGATTAATATATGTCTTGGTGTGTTTCTCCTTGGATTTATCCTGTATGGGACCCTTTGTGCTTCTTGGACTTGATTGACTCTTTCCTTTCCCATAATAGGGAAGTTTTCAACTATAATCTCTTCAAATATTTTCTCAGTCCCTTTCTTTTCCTCTTCTTCTTCTGGGATCCCTAGAGTTTGAATCTTGGTGTGTTTAGTGTTGTCCCAGAGGTCTCTGAGACTGTCTTCATTCTTTTTTTTCTTTATTCTGCTCTGCAGTAGTTATTTCCACTATTTTATCTTCCATGTCATGTATCCGTTCTTCTGCCTCAGTTATTTTGCTATTGATTTACTTCTAGAGAATTTTAATTTTCATTTATTATGCTGTTCATCACTGTTTGTTTGCCCTTTAGTTCTTCTAGGTCCTTGTTAAATGTTTCTTGTATTTTCTCCATTCTATTTCTAATATTTTGGGTCATCTTTACTATCATTACTCTGAGTTCTTTTTCAGGTAGACTGCCTATTTCCTCTTCATTTGTTGGGTCTGGTGGGCCTTTACTTTGCTCTTTTATCTGCTGCGCATTTCTCTGTCTTCTTATTTTGCTTATCTTACTGTGTTTGGGGACTCCTTTTAGCAGACTGCAGGTTCATAGTTCCTGTTGTTTTTGGGGTCTACCCCCAGTGGGTGTGGTTGGTTTAGTGGGTTGTGTAGGCTTCCTGGTGGAGGGAACAGGTTCTTGTGTTCTGTTGGATAAAGCTGGATCTTGTCTTTCTGGTGGGCAGGACCGCATTGTGTTTTGGGGTGTCTGTGAACTTAGTATGATTTTAGGCAACCTGTCTGCTAATAGGTGGGGTTGTGTTCCTGTCTTTCTAGTTGTTTGCCATGGAGTGTCCAGCACTGGAGCTTGCTGATTGTTGAGTGGAGCTGGGTCTTAGCGTTGAGACAAAGATATCTGGGAGAACTCTCGCCAATTTATATTACATGGGGCCGGGAGGTCTTTGGTGGTCTAATGTCCTGAACTTGGCTCTCTCACCTCAGAGGCTTGGGCGTGACACCTGGCCAGAACACCAAGACCCTGTCAGCCACATGGCTTAGAAGAAAAGGGAGGAAAAAAAAGAAGGAAAGAAAGGAAAAAAATAGAATAAAAAAATAAAGTTATTAAAATTAAAAAATATTATTGGCTTCCCTGGTGGTGCAGTGGTTGAGAGTCTGCCTGCCGATGCAGCGGACATGGGTTCGTGCCCTGGTCCAGGAAGATCCCACATGCCGCGGAGTGGCTGGGCCTGTGAGCCATGGCCGCTGAGCCTGCGCGTCCAGAGCCTGTGCTCCACAACGGGAGAGGCCACAACAGTGAGAGGCCCGCATACTGCAAAAAAAAAAAATTAAAATAAAAAACTTTAAAAAGTAATTATATAAAAAAAGAAGAGAGCAACCAAATCAACAAACAAATCCACCAATGATAACAAGCACTAAAAACTAAACTAAGATAAATATAAAAATTGGAAACTGGTTAGTCGCATACAGGAAACCCCAAGTTAACAGTTGTTCCCAAAGTCCAGCGCCTCAATTTTGGGATGATTTGTTGTCTATTCAGGTATTCCAGAGACGTAGCGTACATCAAGTTAATTGTGGGGATTTAATCCGCAGCTCCTGTGGCTGGATGCAGAAATTTCCCTTTCTCTTCTTTGTTTGCACAGCTTCCAGGGTTCAGCTTTGGATTTGGCCCCGCCTCTGCGTGTAGGTCGCCGGAGGGCGTCTGTTTTTCCGCTCAGACAGGACGGGTTAAAGGAGCAGCTGATTCTGGGGCTCTGGCTCACTCAGGCCAGGGGGAGGGAGGGGTACGGATGCGGGCCGAGCCTGCGGCAGCAGAGGCCAGCGTGACGTTGCACCAGCCTGAGGTGCGCTGTGCATTCTCCTGGGGAAGTTGTCCCTGGATTCCGGAACCCTGGCAGTGGCGGGCTGCACAGGCTCCCGGGAGGGGAGGTGTGGAGAGTGACCTGTGCTCGCACACAGGCCCCTTGGAGGCGGCAGCAGCAGCATTGGTGTTTCATGCCCGTCTCTGGTGTCTGACCTGATAGCTGTGGCTCATGCCTGTCTCTGAAGCTCGTTTAGGCGGTGCTCTGAATCTCCTCTCCTCGCGCACCCGGAAACAATGGTCTCTCTTGCCTCTTAGGTAGGTCCAGACATTTTCCCAGACTCCCTCCCAGCTAGCTGTGGCACACTAGCCCCCTTCAGGCTGTGTTCACGCCGCCAGTCCTCTCCCTGGGATCCGACCTCCGAAGCCTAAGCTTCAGCTCCCAGCCCCGCCCGCCCCGTTAGGTGAGCAGACAAGCCTCTCGGGCTGGTGAGTGCTGGTCGGCACCGATCCTCTGTGCGGGAATCTCTCCGCTTAGCCCTCCGCACCCCTGTTGCTGTGCTCTCCTCCATGGCTCTGAAACTTCCCCACACCGCCACCCGCAGTCTCCGCCCAGGAAGGGGGTTCTAGTCTGTGGAAACCTTTCCTCCTTCACGGCTCCCTCCCACTGGTGCAGATCCCGTCCCTATTCTTTTGTTTCTGTTTTTTCTTTTTTTCTTTTGCCCAACCCAGTTATGTGGGAAGTTTCTTGCTTTTATGGGAAGTCTGAGATCTTCTGCCAGCGTTCAGTAGGTGTTCTGTAGGAGTTGTTCCACATATAGATGTATTTCTGATGTATCTCTGGGGATGAAGGTGATCTCCATGTCTTACTCCTCCGCCACCTTGAAGGTCCTCCCGAACATAAAAGTTGAAAAATACTAGCAAGAAAAAATTTCAGCAGCAGAGTTGTGGACAGCCAGATACTTTTGGAGATGGAGCTGACAGGAATCGAACTCCAAGATTTTCTCAAATGGAGAAAGCAAGCTGAGCCCGTCCTGGGAGGAGGTCGCCCCTTTTTTAAAATGCCTTTCAATGCCCCGTTTCTTCTCCAGTTTTAGCCAGATAACTTACTGAGGATTCTCTCAGCATATTTTCACCTTGTGTATGTCTTCAGATTCTCATTAAGAGAAAAACTGGGGGGAAGGAAGTAATTAATCTATTTCAGCATGGATGCACAAGAGGAAGAAGGAATAATAAGAGGAATAAGAGATCTTTCATAGTAGTTTTAAAAGCAGAGAAAATCTTGAGAGTTTTCTCTGCTTCGTTTTATGAATGTGTCATTTAATTGTTTGAAATTGCAAGCTTCCTGAGAGTGAGAGCCATCTTTCTTCTTTCATGTGTCCTGAATTGCCTAGGCACATGGTAGGTACTTAATAAAACATTTGGTCAAAGCATTGAATTAAAATAAACCCTTACCTCCTTCTGACAAAAATGTTTGCCAATGGCAGGAAAACTGGAAGACAGAAACAAGCAAGCTTGTGTATCCCCATATATTATATTTGAACTACGTTTGATACTGAGCTGTATTCTCAACAGCTTCCAGATTTTCACTTTGGTCTCAGATGTCAGAAATTTCAAAAAATGTGTGTAAAAATTCATGAAGCTGTGGGATTGAGTGGAACCATGAGGCCTGAAATAATTCAGAAGATTGTCTAGTTCAGACAAGATAATATCGATGACATTCCTTGGAAAGGGTGAAATATCAATGGGACTGGCATTTCTGGGGAATAAAAGGAGAAAACGAGATTCAGGAGCACAAGTTCACTTGAGAATTTCTAACATAAAGGCATGGTGAGAATGGGATAATTGCTAGTCATTAATATCTATAGATGGTTATTAATGCTGAAGATGGTAATTATTTTTTCAGTGTGGTTTCCTTGAAACAACATACTAGCTGGAATAAAATGATCTAGTTCTTGTTCTGAATCCATTTCTTACTGGATGGCTTCACTAATTCACAACCTCTCTGAGCTTCAGTTTTCTCACTTGTAATATGGGGATCATAGAATTTTTGTAAAGTAGATTGAATCATAGAGTGGGATACTGAGCACTGAATGAATAAACATTTACTATATTATCAAACAAATAAATAAATAAACAAACCAGTCAGATATTATGTGTGAAAGAGTTCTATCAACAGGCAAGTGCTAAGTAAACATGAAGGACTGGTGTTATGATTGTGTTTGTTTTGTCACAGGTCTCTTCTCTTAGATCCATCTTCTTTGAGTGGAATCCATGGTGAGTAAAAATAATGTAACCGAGTTCATTTTCACTGGTCTTTTCGAGGATCCAGAGGTACAGAGAGTGTGCTTTGTGGTGTTTCTTCCCGTGTACTTGGCCACGGTGGTAGGCAACGGCCTCATTGTTCTGACGGTCAAAGCCAGTAAGAGTCTGCATTCCCCCATGTACTTCTTCCTTAGCTACCTGTCCCTGGTGGAAATCAGCTATTCCTCTACTATTGTCCCTAAATTCATCACGGACTTACTTACCAAGATTAAAACCATCTCACTGGAGGGTTGTCTGGCTCAGATATTCTTCTTTCACTTCTTTGGGGTCACTGAGATCCTCTTGCTTGTGGTGATGGCTTATGACCGCTCTGTGGCCATCTGCAAACCCCTTCATTATATTAACATTATGAATCGTCAACTGTGTCATGTATTAGTGGCTGGTTCCTGGCTTGGGGGCTTCTTTCATTCCGTAATTCAGATTCTCATCACCATCCAATTGCCCTTCTGTGGTCCCAATGTGATTGACCACTACTTCTGTGATCTCCAGCCATTATTCAAGATTGCCTGCACTGACACCTCTGTGGAGGGGGTTATTGTGTTGGTCAATAGTGGCTTAATTGCTCTGTGCTCCTTCCTCATCTTGGTGACCTCCTACATTGTCATTCTGGTCAACTTGAGGAACCATTCAGCAGAGGGAAGACACAAAGCCCTCTCCACCTGTGCTTCTCACATCATGGTGGTCATGTTGTTCTTTGGACCTGCCATCTTCTTCTACATGCGACCCCCTCCACATTCACTGAGGGAAAACTGGTGGCTGTGTTCTACACAGTGGTCACCCCCATGCTGAACCCCATCATCTACACACTCAGAAATGCAGAGGTGAAAATCACTATGAGGAGGTTGTGGGGCAAAAAGGAGAACTCAGGGGTGGAGTGAAAATGGGAAAGTGATTTTAAAAAGTGTGTCTGATTATTCTCTGTTCTTGAAATGGATTTTAATTTTAGTGGAACATTCAAGAATGGCAGAAACAAATGTAAAGACTTAATGTTACTGCTAATGTGATTCTCCTTAGTCACCAAAGACTCCCCACTAATCCGGTGTAATGATCAAAGGACAGAGATCAGATTGGTTTCATGATATCCAACAATATCATGAGATTAGGAAATATTAAGATTTAAGCTAAGTTAAAATGCAAAGGAGAAGATTTTGACAAGTGTTTTAGAGGTTAAATCACTTATTCTTATGATCTCCTTCCTTCCTCCTTTTCTTCATCCATCCCTGCCTCCCTTCTTTCTTTCCTTACTTTTTTTCCTCCTTCCTTCTTCATGCTCCCCTCTTCATTCAACCTCCCTAGCAATAACAACCAACATTTCATTAAAAAAGGAAACAAAATCGAGGAATTATCATGGGATATTTGGGGAGGAGGGTAACAATCTGATCTACTCTTTCGACGTGGGTAAGTGTGTCTTTGAAAATTGCATCCAGGGATTTTTCTCTTCTTCTGGTTGTTTGGGCATCTTGTACCATAGACCATCTGATCACAAGTACCAGAAAAGTCCCTGGAGCAATTTCAGTTCTTCTGATATGTTGGCACAAAAGATAATCCTTAAATCTTCTCTCACAATGTCTACCATCAATAAATTAAAAAAAACAAAAGGTCACAGATTCTAGCTATCAATAGGGAAAGGTCAAGTGAAACATTTTAACAAAGCTTTATCTATAGGAAATAAATATAGAATGTAGGAAATTCTTGTTAGGCATAACTTGAAGAATGAATGGGTGGTAAGTAATGTCCAAGTATGTTTCCATGCCATACTCTGTACTTTATTCTAACTGATCAGGCCAGGTCCATTTCTTGTCATGCCTATTAGTGTTTCTTGGTGAAGTAGGATGAGACAGACTGTGTCGACATTATTGTTTCATCTCTCAGAAACTCCTTTCACCCAACTGACTCTTATCATTGTGGACAATTTAGAGAATATCATAAAATTTGCCCCTGTTGGCTTCAGGATTACACAGACTGGCTTTACATTTGCCCTCCATCCTTCCAGCTCTCCTTGAGGATCAGGGGAAATAAGGCAGGCAGCTTCCTTGCAGAGCCGTGGAGCATCATAGTATGCTACAGACCTTAAGGGCTTTTCCCTTTCTCCTCAGGTGCTGATTGAGCATGTAGGTGAATAGTGGTTTTAAAGGCACCAGGAAATCTTCCCCACTTCCCTTGTTGTCCCCACTAATCATGGCCATGGAGGACCATTAATAATCTCTGAGAAAATGCCACTTCTTTTGTCCTGAATGACTTTACTACACTTTTCCATATGGCAAACTCCTATGCATCCTTGAAGACCTAGGTTAAAGTCGTCTCCCTTATGAGGCCTTCTCTGACCTCCCTCCACCTTGGGCTGAATTTGTGTCTCCTGTCCATGTTTATTTTTACATGCATTTATCATTGCCCTTATGACTTTGATTATATTATTTTATATACTTTTCTCTCTTTTAAACTGTAAGCTCTCAAGGGCAGGGCTACCCACTACCCCTTCTTCTTCTTTGTGGCTCTAAATATTGTACATGTCATTGGTAGTTTATACGTGCTTGTTGAATATAGAAACTTTCAGACCCACGTAAAATCCTCTCTACATCAATTCTTACTAATTCCTTCTGAACACTTTCATGGTGAGGAGCACTTCTCTTCCTGTTAAACTCTGAAGAGCTCAGGCTCTGATATTCATCAGGCTGTTTCAATTTCCTCTTAGCCACAGTCCAAGACCCAAGCTACCCAACTTCTCTGAACACCTGTTTTTGCACAAATACAATAAGGTTATCAATGGTATGAACTTCATAAGATTATTCTGAATATTATATAAGATAATGTACACATAAAGCTTTTAGAAAAGAACATGATATAGAGCTGTACCATGGACCAATAAATATTAGCCTCCGTCATCATTATTCTGCCTCTTCGCATATGGGTCTTCCTTCTTTCTTGGGGGGCTACTTGGAATAAGCCTTGATTGCACCCCAAAAGGCTTTCAAGCATTTGAAGACAGTTCAATCCTTTTGTCTCGAAGCTTCTTTGGGATACACATTCTCTGTTGCTTAATTGCTTTTTCTTTTAATTTTTAAAAAAATGTTTTGGGACTTCCCTGGTGGTCCAGTGGTAAAGAATCTGCCTTCCAATCCAGGGACATGGTTTCGATCCCTGGTCCAGGAACTAAGATCCCGCATGGCGTGGGACAACTAAGCCTGCATGCCACAACTACAGAGCCCGTGCACCCTGGAGCCCACGCACCACAACTAGAGAGAGGAAACCCGCACGCCACAACTAGAGAGAAGCCCTTGCTCCACAACGAAGAGGCCGCATACCTCAACGAATCTCTTACCTGCCTCAACCAATAACTGACGCGACCCCCCCAAAAAAAAATGTATTGGAGTATAGTTAATTTACATTGTTGTGTTACTTTCTGCTGAACAGCAAAGTGTATCAGTTATACATATACATATGTTCACTCTTTTTTTAAGATTCTTTTCCCATATAGGTCATTACAAGGCACTGAGTAGAGTTCCCTGTGCTATACAGTAGGTCCTTATTAGTTATCTATTGTATATATAAAATTAATTGCTTTAGAGTGCCTAGCACAGTACCTGGCACATCATATGTGCTCAATAAATATTTGTTAAGTGGATGTTGACTGTCACATGGCCTCCCCATTTATCTTTTTTTTTTTTCCCATTTATCTTTTATGCTGAATGCACCTATATTTCGTTAATGTATATGTGAAAGCGTTTGATCCAGAACTAAACTTCGTGGATTTACCCTCCCTTTGTCTTGATGTGTTGCTAGGACTGTAAGATGCAGGCTGTGACAGGAACCTCTTACTCACGTGCATCTTTAGTTTCCTCACTGAGAGCTACAGAAAGAACATCATCAATGAACTCTGAGTCATTGAATACTGCATGGGCAGATAATATCTACTCCAAATGAATTGTCATAATTCTCAGGGATTACCTCACCTACTGAGAGTTGAGACTTGGTGAGTCTATTGAGAACTAATTACTCGCTTTGTTCTGGTCTCACTGGAAAAACACAGGAAGCAAAGGAAAGCATTTTTTCCATTGTTTTAAGAAACAGAGAGTGTTGAAAAGCTTACGAATGCCTACTAAATTCACAGATGCAACAGTCTAATTATATCACTTATTGTCGAAGGTCATGTAGTTAGTTCTCAATTGTTGATTCAGCCACAGCATTAAAAAATATATTTTTTAGAAAATAAATATAAAATAATCTCACTAAAAGAAATTTGGTAGCATGATGCAAACTACCTTGCATATACAATTGCGCCCCCCCATTTATTTTTTGTATTCTTTTTGGTATAGGTTTGACTATGTACAACAGAAAATAAGGGCAATTTAAGAGATAGAACTACAGGAGTACAGAGGGAGAAAATCCAGCATGATTGTGAAGTCCAACAGTATTATCAGAAATTGAGACTCTGCCATCTTCAGCATGTAGCTTCAACCTATGTATGACCTCAAGGGACTGCTAATACTCCAGACCTGTGCTGCCCAGTAGGACTCATGCTATGCTGGAGGTGTCCTCTGTCTGTGCTATCTAATATGATAGTTAGATAATATAATCTAACTGCTAATGAGCAGTGGAAATGTGCCTAGTGAGACCAAGGAACTGAATTTTAAATTTTATTTAAATAAGTTTAAATTTAAATACTACATATGACTAGTGCATGTCATATTGGACAATACCACTCTAGCATTTCATCTATATTCCAAGAGGCAGTAAAAGGATGACGGAGGTGGGGGCAGTGGGCGGGGTAGAATATACTGATCATTTTCTTTTTTAGGAGATTTTCCAAAAGTGCCACATAGCAATTTTGCTTTCATCTTAGTTTATTGAAATTAATCAAATGGCAATCCTTAATTGCAAGGGAGTCTGAAAACTATAATCTTATTTTTATTTTTAATTTAATTTATTTTATTTTGTCTGTGTTGGGTCTTCGTTGCCACGTGCTGGCTTTCTCTAGTTGCGGTGAGCGGGGCTACTCTTCGTTGTGGTGCACGGGCTTCTCATTGCAGTGGCTTCTCTTGTTGCGGAGCATGGACTCTAGGCACACGGGCTGCAATACTTGTGGCTCGCGGGCTCTAGAGCACAGGCTCAGTAGTTGTGGTGCACGGGCTTAGGTGCTCCGCGGCATGTGGGATCTTCCCGGACCAGGGCTTCAACCTGTGTCCCCTGCATTGGCAGCGGACTCTTAACCACTGTACCACCAGGGAAGTCCCTATAATCTTTTATTCTGTGTAGAATTGTTTTTAACTAAAATCAGGGTTCTGTTCTGTTCTCAGAGAGGAAGAAGAGAATGGATATAAGGATTGGGACTTATTCTCAGGCACTTGGTTACACATATATTCTCGGAAAACATTCTGTTTTCTGAAGCAGCTGTGGTCTAGATCAGTGTTGCCATGAGAACTATCAGTGATGATGGAAATGTTCTAAATCTATGCTAATACATGGTAGTGCCTAGCCATGTGGCTAATTAGCAATTGAAATATGCTTAGCACAATGGAAGAATTGAATTTTTAATTTTATTTGATTTTAACTAACTTAATTGTAAATAGCTACATGTGGCTGGCGGCTACCATATTGGATACGCAGGTCTATAGCACTTCAGTGTTTACTTCTGCAAACTTGTAGCTATTGTTCTGGATCAGAGCAAGATTGCTCCTGTGCCAAGTACCCTGATAGGTCTGTGGTTGACTACTATTACATCTCATCTCTCACTAACCAGCTCTTCTGACTATCTTGAGGTTAGGGTTATTTTTGTACTAAAAAAAAAAAAAACCTTTTTCTCTTCTTCTTCTGGGACCCCTATAATTCGAATGTTGCTGTGTTTAATGTTGTCCCAGAGGTCTCTGAGACTGTCCTCAGT